TTTGTTCACCCCGGAGAGAACGCAAGGAGGAGAGACCCTAGGAAGTTTCATTACAGCTGTGTGCCGTGCCCTGATTTTAGGAAAGGGGCTTGTAGGCGAGGAGACATGTGTGAATATGCTCATGGAGTGTTTGAGTGCTGGCTTCACCCGGCTCAGTATCGGACACGGCTTTGCAAAGATGGTACTAGCTGCAATCGTAGGGTGTGTTTTTTCGCTCACACTGCAGAGGAGCTGCGTCCACTGTATGTATCCACCGGATCTGCTGTTCCTTCACCACGGTCATCGGCCTCGGCTGCTAATGTCATGGACATGGCTGCTGCGATGAGCCTTCTGCCGGGTTCGCCTTCGTCTGTATCTTCCATGTCGCCATCTCACTTTGGGCAACCGATGTCCCCATCTGCCAATGGCATGTCACTTTCCTCTGGTGCTTGGGCACAGCCAAACGTGCCTGCTCTTCATTTACCAGGAAGCAATCTTCAATCTAGCCGATTGAGGTCTTCCCTTAGTGCACGAGACATTCCACCCGAAGACTTGAACGGAATGCTTGATCTTGATGGCCACCAGCACCCTTTAAATGACTTGAGCTGTTACTTACAGCCTCGCCCTGGTACTGGCTCTGTGAGTCGATCTGGTCGGTCCAAGACCCTAACTCCAGCAAATCTGGAAGAGCTCTTTTCTGCTGAAATTTCATCGTCTCCCCGGTATTCGGATCCAGCAGCGGCGTCTGTGTTTTCTCCAACCCACAAATCAGCTGTTCTCAATCAGTTTCAACAGATACAGAACATGTTATCGCCAATTAATACTAATTTGCTTTCTCCAAAGAGCGTTGACCATCCTCTTTTACAGGCCTCCTTTGGTGTCTCTTCGTCTGGAAGGATGTCACCAAGAAGTGTGGAACCAATCTCACCGATGAGCACGCGCATGTCGGCGTTTGCTCAGCGTGAGAAACAGCAGCAGCAGCAGCTACAGCTGCGAAGTTTCAGTTCAAGGGACCTTGGTGCCAACAGTCCTGCCTCAATTGTTGGCTCCCCTGTAAACGGTTGGTCCAAGTGGGGATCTCCTAATGGAAAAGCTGATTGGTCAGTAAATGGAGACGAGCTTGGTGGTAAGATGCGAAGGTCGTCCTCATTAGAGCTTAAGCACAATGGCGAAGAGCCTGATCTGTCATGGGTCCAGTCTCTGGTGAAGGAATCCCCACCTGAGATGATGAAAGAGAAGTTTGCTTCTCCTCTGCCCACAGCACCATCAGCGGATGGACCAAATTCTAATCCTCAAATTGAATCCATTGATCATTCCGTTTTAGGAGCCTGGCTTGAGCAAATGCAACTGGATCAGCTTGTAGTCTAGTAAAATTGACCCCTTTACATTATCTTGTTGAGATAGGTATTTAATTTTCGTAAGGTACATATTCTTTTGGTGAAATTTTTTGGGAAGACGACAAGGAGAGGAGGAATTGTAGTAAAGGAGGTGGGGGTTGGCTGCAAAGTTACCTGAAGGATATTCTATTTTTTCTCTTTTTTTCTTTCTTTAATAATTGTCATTCATTATTTTACTACAGAGCTTCAGGGAGAGCTGAAGAAGCTCTCTCTTGGGGCTTACATCCATAGGAGAGAAATCCTGTCGAGGTTATCTATTTTTCTTCCAAAACGGCCATTGTCACAGGATTCTGCCCTTTTCCATTTTACTCAAGTTCTGAGTTCACTATCTTGCAAGCTAGATGGTTTATAATGCAACAAAAACCACTAGCATGCCATTGTTTACAAGTTTTTTCTGAAAGTTCACCAAGTTAAGCCAAGTCAGTGATTTGCTGTTCCCAAAGAACAAGGTGTTGGTCTGTAATGGAATAATTAGAGATGATCTGCACTGTTGAATATTTACGTTGAATTGTACTGTTTATCATTTTATTTTAAATTCAAATGCAATGTTTCCGTTATCCTATATCTTATCATTTTGTATCCACTTACATTAAATTTGTGCAACTACCTATGCTTTGATTTCACCTATTGCCTGCAAAGTGTCATTAATGGCTGTGGTTACGTGGATTGATTTTGTGGTCCTGCTCTGAAAGCTTGAGATCATTTTTTAAACTGTGAAACCACTGAAGGAATATCTTTTTGGCTTTTGTGCTGCTTTGAATGATAAAATTCAAGATCTGGGGATGGTGTTAATTATGTTGCTTGGCAACACTGCAGAAAGTGGACTCTAGTGTTATGAAAGTGGTAGTTGGGGTTTTTTATTGGGTGATTCTTCTGTGCCCCAACTGATAGTTGGTGTTTATGGTTGCACCTACTTGATGACCTGTGATCACAAATATATGCATTGTTTTTAGTTTTGCAAACTTCGTATACCAAATAGTTGAATAAAATCACTGAATCTTTCAACACTTCATCAAACCACTCCCACGTACTCAGAAATTGTGTTAACCTATCAGCACTCACTGTAACAAACCACTCCATTCCAGCTACTTTGCAATCGATCATTTTAAGGTTACTCTGTCACTTAGTAAAAGGACTATATATAATACATAATATATTATAATTGAAAATTTTGAGAAATATTTTAGAAAATATTTACATTTTTCAGTTCTTAAATAATTTCGAATCTCAGACAGCTAGAATTTGGTGTTTAAATTGTTATGGACTAAAATTTTGGAGAGAAGAAAGATATGATGATGACCGAGTGAGACGGGTGTTTAAAATTTCTCCACTTTTTTTCTGTCCAAGATGTTAAAACCTTGGCAATACTTTTAATGGGAGTGTTACAGTAATAAATTTAATTTAATTACTGTTGATTTGAATTAAATATTTTGTAAATATAATTATATTTTTCGTTAAAGATCATTTTGGGCATATATCTTTAAACAAATCAAATTCGAGCAATTTAAAGATTATGTTGAGGTTAAGCTCGTTTGAGGTGATTTATTGTATAAGTGAATTTGCAAAGATGGATTTGCAAAGTAAATTGTGTTCGGTGGGACTGATTTGGGACGACGGATAAGCACTTTATAGGACTGATTTGTGAGGATTTACGCTTTTTGAGGCTCTCCCACTTTTGTAAAGATTGGCGCTGATTTGGAATGAAAAGTCGTAAATGTCCCTGTGCTTTAACTATAATTCCACGATCATTTAAAAAAAATCATGCATTATTTTCGTACTCCATTCCAGTTGCACTGTGCTATCAATAGTGTGGCTTCCCAAGTTAAGACTTTGGACTGTCCAAAGACATGCTTTTGCAATGTGGTTTTGCAGCGTACAAAGTTAATAATTTTGACGCATTAACTGATTGTATGTTTCATATCACTAGATTTATTAGAACCTAATACTACATTAAAATAAATTCATTTTACTACATTATAACTTTTATAATTTTTAAACAATAATTTTATAAATTATTCATAATTTTTTTTCTCTTTATAAACATTTTTACAATTAAATATAATATTAAAAAATAACTTTTTATATTACTTTTATAACTAGGGACATTTTGGTAATCTTTAATTTCTACCAATTAAACTAATTTTAAAAATCTATCACATCATTCAAATCCTACACTAATTCTCACCAACTTTACTTCCAAATACACTCTCAATTAACCACAAATCCACTCAAAAAAACAACTACAAAATTACCCTCAAATCCACTCAAATCTATTCAAATCATCTCTTCCAAATCATCTCCCCCAAATACATCCAAAAGAACACACCCTAAGTCTTTTTCTAAAAGTAATTCTCAAAGTTTAACTTTAGGTTAATCTTATATTTGTCTTCAGGCTTTTTTTAGTGTTTACTTATGTTCAGTTGAATTGAGTGTTACTCGTAGAAAACATTTTAATGTTAAAATTAATATTTAAACGAATGTTTTATTTTAATATTAAACTTGTATTTATAGATTTTGAGATATATTTTTTATTAGTATTGAACTAATTACAGTCTAAACACTAATAATCTAATTTAAATATAAGTATGACCGAGCAATAGTTTCAATGAGACTAATATAAGATTGATCAGGAGGTCATATTGTAATAACAGGATAGCACATATTAATAATATATGTATGGATTTTAATTATTTAATTTTTCTAAATATCATATTTTTTTCATTCTTCAAAAATCAAATGAGACTCTCTTTTTATCTTTTCCTCCGTTAGTTTTTGCAACTAAATTTCTTTTCTGCAGAATTTTCTTTTGTTATTGGTAATACAATAAGGTCGAATTGAGAGAGAAAAGAGTTTTCTTAACAAATATAATTAGTGAAATTGTTATACGTGTAATGTTTTGTAATTCGAGTGGTAGGATCCTGAAATCTAAATTCAAATGCCTCCTAAATTTTAATGAAATGAAAATGTGAACGTAAATTCTACATTAGAGCACTGCATCGTCTAAGGTAGTGACTTAATTGTGTTAATTAATTCTAAGAAACATTAACCTGGATAAGTGTATATAATATAATTGTTTACATAAATAACTTTAGTTAATATTGAGATCCTAGATTAAAAAATTAGGTTTCTATCTCAATTAAAAAATTATAATATATAAATAGATATAAACTTTGTCTTATAAAAACCTATTTTATTTAAAAAAAACATTTACCTAAACTTGATAAAAATTATTCATTATGTAAAAGAATTGTTTATATACGAAGATGGTTTTAATATATTTATTTATTATCAATTCCAAACAATTATTTTAATTTTGGTTTGTAAAAGGTGAGTTTTTTACTGATCTCTTTCGGCTGGAAATGAAAAACCATTGACCAAAGTTTAAGAAAGTGTGTGAAAAGAAAATGGAGTATGTGGACTTTTGATGACACGTGCTTTTATTTTCTTTTGACGATGAGTGATATCATGTGCATTGTGCAACTTTATCCAACCAAATCTCATGCTTCTGACTTTCGAAAACCAAAACAAGAAAAGTAAAAAGGGAAATAATAATAGTGATGATAAATAAAATAAAAATCATTACTTTACAAAACAAAGTATTTGCATAGTGTGAACAATGTTCATAATAATGGAGAAAATTTGTGGTAGGGTAAGCCTGAAATGGGTATTTATTTCGAGGTTTATTAATTCAAGGAGTTGCTATTTTTGCGTGAAATTTCAATTTATTTCTGTTGTTTATAAAAATTTTAATTGGATCCAAATTTATGAAAATTGCAACAATTGAATTTTTTCCGTTAAATTGTCTTCTACGACGTTAGTATGTGTTTGACGTGGCACATTGTAGTCAGTTTCTTAACTGACGTGGCTGAGTGAAGTGGGACAACTCGTGGATATTATTATTCCAATCTTTTTCTACTGCAACCTAGTACCCTATCCCTCTAAAACCTAAATTACTTTATCTTACACATGGGCCCACCCAATACTAAATAATCATTTCCTATTTCTCTTCTCAACAAAGAATTTTAGCATTCTAATACACTTACAGCCGTGCACCTCTCTCTAACTCTCCTTCTTTTTAATTAAATTTCTTTTTCTCTCCGAAAGCCAAACCTATTCCCAGTACTTCTCTCACGTCTTGCTCCATTTAAACACATACCCCTCCACACATCAATCCAATTTTGTTTTCTTCCCCAGGCAGACCAAACTGATCAATGTTATTTGAACCTGCAGAATCAGGCTTAATCAAGGAAGATGCTTGTTTCCCACTTGGGGTAGCCTCTGCCCCACGGTCTCTGTCAGACACTTCAGCCTCTCCATTCTCCTGTCGTGCCTTGGCAGCAGCCAGTGTTGCACTGATAGCTTCAGCTTCTGCAGCTGATGCTTGAACCAGATACTCCACACCTTTAGCAATTCGCCTGTTCAAAGTCCTTTAGATGAATGAAGCCAAACAAGTAACATTAAATACTTTGCCCAATTAAATGAAAACAACTATTGTACCGAGGTCCCTGAAGCATGGCATTATCTGTATAAATGTCACCATTCATTGGAGGTGCAACAGGATTTCCCAAAACAACAGAACCATCAGCAATTGCCTCAGGAACTGCTTGCCTCGCTGGTTTTCAAAACCCCCTTCAACGACTACTCCGTCAAGTTCATCCCCTTCTATGAGAACCGCCTCGTCGTTGCCACCGCCCAGAACTTTGGTATCCTCGGCAACGGCCGCCTCCACGTCCTCATCCTCTCCCCGGACCCCTCCCTCCCCATCGCGGAGCTTGCCTCCTACGACACCGCCGATGGTGTCTACGATGTAGCTTGGTCGGAATCACACGACTCCATCCTCATCGCCGCCGTGGCCGACAGCTCCGTGAAGCTCTACGACCTGGCCCTACCCCCCACTTCTAACCCGATCCGCTCCTTCCCGGAACACACCCGCAAGGTCCACTCCGCCGACTACAACCCCATCCGCCGCGACTCTTTCCTCTCCTCCTCCTTGGATGACACCGTCAAGCTCTGGACCCTCGACTGCCCCACCAGGGTCCGCACCTTCAAGGAGCACGCCTATTGCGTTTACTCCGTCGTCTGGAACCCCCGTCTACAAATGTCAGGAACTATAGGGTTCCCGTGAGTGTGCTTAATGGGCACGGATATGCCGTGAGGAAGGTGACGGTGTGCACATCATTAATCCACGTCAATTAAAAAACTCGTGCCATGTCAGTTAAGAAACTGACTACAGTGTGCTACGTCAAAGACACACTAACGTCGTTGGAGACAATTTAACGGAAAGGATCCAATTGTTGCAATTTTCATTGGGACCCAATTGAGATTTCCATAAACAACATGACTAAATTGAGATTCTACGCGAAAATAGGAACTTCGTGAATGATTAAACCTTATTTCGAATACTATGCATATAATACTCGTTTTAAAAAAAATTACAAAAGGGGTTAAGTCATCATACGTGATGGTGACATTGTGGTAAAGAATTCCTCAAAAATTTGTAAGATTTTCACGAGTTTGGATTATCGTAACGAAACTGTAGGATGTGATGATGATCTTT